GGAATAAAGTAACTGTCCACCTGCGTTAGGCAGGAGGTTTGCACCGGCTGCCTGGGCTGAGCGCTTTGGAGAGCAGTACGAGCCACTCCTCAGTGGGCACTTCATGTGATATGTAACAAAGACAAGCTCCTCCTTCCACAGTATCTTTTTAAACTTATTTTGGAAATCAGATTAGTGTACAATAGAAAAATTAAGGATATGGTTTGAAAAAGAAGGTAATTGTGTTTTGAAAATGAATCCAAATAGCTCTGAACTGTACTGAAAAATTGTTATTATTTCTTTTTCTTAAAAGGATCTGGAGAAAAGCAGCTATCAAAATGAGGGAACCGAGCAGAATATAAATGAAGTAATGTGCCCAAAGTGATTAAAAAGGAATACTGCAAGTAGTTGAAGTGCAAGAAGAAATGTAAAAAACCATGTTGAGGCTTTGAAATATGTTTTTCTAAACGTCTTAAAAAGTGTCCAGATTATCTGGTGAGTAGATCCAGACAAAGGCTAATATCGGCTCTGAATTATAAAGTCTCTGCAAATGTTTTTAATGCCACATATGTATAAAAATTCCACAAATGCAAAATAATGTTCAGGCTGACAAATACCTTATTTCCACAATGTGATTTAAACATGTTGGAAGGCTATAATTGCGTTAAGTGTGGTCACTTTCACATTTATTTCTGTGTGTCCAAAAAGAATAGATTAAAAGGTCTTTAAATGATTAAAAAATGTAGGACACAAAAATGTGCATGTGCATATATATAAATTTGTGAAAAAAAATGAAGAACCCAAAAATGTCAAGAAGGACAGTAAAACATTTTTCAAGATATTTTGAAAAATGAATGGACATTGAAGAATGACTTTGAAAGTATGCCAATGGTAAAATAAAATCTAAAGGTTAAAAAGCTCCTGAAGAAGCTGACATCAAAGTCCCTCAATGTCAGAGTGTTCTGGGAATGTCTGAAAAGTTTCACGATGTATTTAATCAATAGTTGGTGCTACAGTACTGTGGCTTAGTGGGAGCTTCACCAGCTTTAAAGTCCATGAACAGAAGATGCAAATTGTTGCCCAAAACAGAGCAAAAGAATTGCCCCCCATTTTACTTCCCTATCAATCAAAATTAAAAAGAAAGAATTTAGCAATTGCCAGCAAAGGTTCAAACTGATGAGAAGTAAGTGTGTACACCCTAAAGAGCAGGACCAGGAGCTTCTCAGAGGCAGCAGCGAGCCTTGGAGCGGTGCCCATGTTTCCCAAGGGCCGGGGGCTGCTGGCGGTTACATGGAGCTGCTGCAACCGTAGTTGCACCCCTCGGGAGCGTGTTGGCCCATGGCTCCTGGCTTTGGCATTGGAGAAGGGCTCTGCTCCTGCCCTGAGGTGCCCTGAGCAAGAGACGAAGCCTTTCCTTTCCTCCGGAGGTGCCCATTTGCCAGCTCTCTGTGGGGCTTGCTGTGGTGGAGCCGGAGCTGTGGTGCCCCAGGGGACCCTGCCAGGGGCATTGGGTTACTCAGAAAAATTGGGAAAGACTGGCAAGTTTGTACAGCTGCTGTTGTTGCTGAAGGCTTGTGAAGGAAAAGTCTTATTTACCTCTTTTCACGTCACCCTCCTCTTTTTCAAAGCTGCTTTTTCAAGCCTGTACCATTTGGTGTTACATGCATCATATCCGAAATACCCAACTGCAGCCTTCACCTCGCATGTCCTCCGCAGCAGGGATTTCTAATGCTGATAGCCCTGGCAGAGGGACTGTAATTGTAAAGCATCAGCCTGGACTTGATCTCTTACAGACCTGAGTGTGCCCGTCATTTCAAGACGGAGTTTGACTCCCTCGCCATTGCTGGGAGCAATGGGCATCCTTTTGGCATTTGCTTTGGCAATCAGCACAGTCTCTTAAACTCCACTTCCCATAGATTAGCAGACAATGTCTCTGTGGAGATTTATTTTGACAGCTTGGGTTTTAGACAGCTTGTTCTGCATTTTGGCTTCGGCCAGGATGCCACATGGCTTTAAAGAGCAGCTGAACTGAGTGGACATCTGCTGTCACAAAAGTGGCCATTAAATTTACAGGCAGGCATAAACTGGGCTGAATTAAAAAGGCAACAAAATTCCACTCCAGTAGGGAACATAAACATAACGGCTGTGGCTAACACTGTTTAGGGGATTTTTTTTTCCTTTACTTCTTTTTCCCTTCTTTTCTTTTCCTGCCTCTCTACCCTAGAGGGTGGGTAGACTCTCTAGACACTAATTCATCTGATTTTGATAAGTAATTCACCACTAGTTTCTCAGGTTAATACTGAACCTTCTGAGTACACTTGGGGTTTGGGAATATTTAGAGAAATGGCCTCTCAAGCAGCAAATAAATACCAGCCCTAAAACAGCCGGAGCATTGGCCCTTAGTACTGACTGACACCAGTCTTGGGAAGGCCATTTTCCAGCCTTGTAGAAGATAGGTGGGACTGGGGAAAGAGCTCATGTGGGAGAAAGAAAACAACTGCAATTCTTTTTTTTTTCTGTTAATCAACTCATTTATTTAAATTAATTTATTTCTTTCTAACAGAGAAGCCTGGGTGAAATTTTACTTGCTGCATCCCAGGACATTGGGCATCATTATACACCTGTACTGTGCCCAAAGGTGTACGTGGGGGGGACACCAGCAATTGTTTTTATTCCGTATATAAACCTGTTAATAAATAATGCTTTTCATGAAAGATTTTTTTGAAGACGTGACTTAGCTGCCATGTACTTTAAGACCCTCCCTGCAGGCCGTGGAGGAGGGATGTGAAGGTGGCAAAGGAGGCTCCTTCCCTGCGAGCAAAGGAGGTTTTTGCAAAAAGACGTGCATGCCTGGACAACGTGACTGGACAAACCAATGACCTGGGTGGACTTCACCCATTTCTTCCATCATGGGAAGGTGCCCCATCACCTCTAACGCTGAAAACATTGGTTTTCTTCTGCCTCTGCTGAAAGCTTTTCTCTCCCAGAACCTGCAGCTCACACATGGGCAAACATCAGGTTTGCTCCTGACTCCCAGCTATTTTCTAACTAACTGCGTTGTATGTTGTTTACTACTGTTATTACCAAGTAATAATATCAGGAGTTATAATAAAGTGTAAAATTATAAAATTATTATAATATTATAACAAACAACAACAACAATAATAATAATATTGTTTTATTAGGGAATCTTTCCATGGCAGACTATAGAAGAGGACCAAAGGCACTGGTGAGTGTCTCCCCAGAGGCCCATGCCAATGCAGGGTGGGCATGGGGTCCCTGAGTCCCTCTCCTTCAGTGGCTGAGGGATGACCAGAAAGGACACATCCTCCCATCACAGCTGCCGGTGTGGCTCCTGCAGCACTCCCAGTTTAACCAGCCCCACTGGTGGATGTCCCCTTTGCTATTTAAGCTATACTGAAAGCGTGTAAGGAGCATCTGCTTCAGCTCATGGTGTCTGTGCTGGTGCTACTCACTGCAACAGCTTCACCAGGAAGTGTCCCCAGCAGCCACCACAGTCAAGTGGGGGATTTATAGCTGCTGCATCTGCTGTGCTACAGACCAGCAGTCTTTCTCCTTCACTCACATTAAAATGTAGGGCAGCTGTTGAAATATCAAGTACTGCACTGTGGACAAATAAGGAACATTTCAGTTTAAAAAAAAAAATATCCGATGTGCTCGTGGTTAGATGCTGGGCATAGCGAGCAACGGCAGCTCAACAGGCCCACTACTTGCTTGTACGCAGGAGGCAATCACAAAGTGCTGCAACAGTCCCCAGAGGTTTCCCCACCAATTCATTTTGCTGTTTTGCCTTGAAATCAAAGCACCCGTCGATTTAAAAGCTGCAGAATCAATCTTCTGTAGGCTTACTGCAGCTACGCTATTGCACACACCCTGACAGCCATGTATAGATCTAAGCCATCACACTATAAATATTTTTCTATCCTGCTTCTGTAGGTTAGAGGTTAAGTAGGTTCAGGCTAATCTTGATTTGTGACCCAGCACCATGAGTACCGGCAGTGAGGTTAAGCCCCTTTCCGGTGGCACACTGCATTCTGCGGGCTGTAATGAAGTCCATACACACTAGATGGCCCCAGGAGAATGAAGCGCTGCTTGGAAATTATAACTAAAACCTGCTATTTTGGATTAAAAAAAGATAAATAAATTTGGTTACTCCAAATTCTTTCTCATAGAATTATTTAGACTGAGCTTTTCAAGGTGACCGAAAGGCAATCAGCACATGTCTGACAGGGAAACCAGAGAATAGCACTGAAATTTTATATTTATACAGTAGAGATTAACAAAAGATATTATTTTCTCAGAGAAGCCCACAGACTTGCTACAGCTACGTTACTGTTTTCATTACCAATGTGTAAGAATGGAGATGGGGGCGGGGGGGAGGGGGAAGTTGTTTCAGGGGAAAAATAGCACCATACAACTGCTGTTTCCATGACAGAACAACTAAGTTTGGGGAGTTGTCACCATGTGCGATAGTACACCCTGCACAGAGCTGTGGGCAGGTTTTGGGGCCTGATGGATTGTGCCATACGGCACTAGGCACTGACAAATTACAGCTGTGAAGTCTGGCCCTTACTGAGGTTTTCTGCCTTGATAAATGCCATTAAAATACAGGAGATTGAGACAGACCCCTTGAAATTAAAAAAAAAAAAAAAAAAAAAAAAAAAAAAAAAAGCCTGGTTATCTACTTTAAGGGCTTGGGAACAGAAGTGGTTTTGGCTCCATCTTCATATTACCAACCAAATAAACGTCTGTCAGAATCCCCACAGCTAAAGAATAAATGCCAAGAGTGGTCCCAGGGGTGATTTTTAGCACTTCGACACAGGCTATGAACTATCCTACATGTCTTCTTTAGGGTTGGGTCCCTAGCAGGATTTATTTCTGCGTCAAGGAAGATTACAGCTAATAGGATTTGCTTCTTGGAGGCTGTTGGCATGTTTGGTGCAAACCCTGCACAGTGCTTTCTTAAAGGAGAATATGGACCCTATTTGTCATATTTTTCTTCTTTTTCTGGCCTTCCACAAGATAAACCCATCTGTTTCATCTTGTGTCACCGGATGCTCTTGTTCTCAAAACACCTTTGGAAGGTAAGAACGCTAGTTACCCTAGTCATAGAACCAGTGAAGCCGCTCAGAGAGTCCCAATATATATTTGCCGATGATGTGAGCACCAAAACCAAACAGATGGCTGCATGATATGTCTCCTCTAATACTTGAATAGTACTAGCTTGAGCACAGAATGAGATTTCTCTTATTTCCCTGAGATATGTAGTTGCATACGTAGCACTTTTTATGACTTAATTGTATTCTTTGTGGGAAAATGGGTGTAAAACCCAGGGAAGGATGGATGTATGGCTTATGCATGCCCTGTATACAATACCTTATAATTATTCAAGCGCTTGTAGCCCTGTATAGGGAACTGGTTTGTTAGCCAGGACCGTGGTGCATGACCTGGAGAATTTTCTGGTTTCCTCCTTAGGAGTTTGCTCTGCATGTCTGCACTGCTGAGGCAGATCCCTGCAAACATCCCTCAGGACATCCGGAAAATTAGAATAGAAAATTCTCACCTAACAGAATTGCCTCGCGGGTCTTTTGAGAACATTAGTGCCTTGGAGTATCTCTGGCTCAATTTTAACAACATCACAGTGATGCACATCAAGAGCCTGCAATATCTGCAGGCTCTGAAGGAGCTTCGTTTGCAAGGGAACAAACTAAGTTCGGTGCCATGGACAGCATTCCAAGACACCCCAGCTCTGAAAATCCTGGATCTGAAACACAACCGGCTGGATGTCCTTCCAGAACATGCGCTCCGCTATCTGCCCAACCTGACCTATTTAGACCTATCCTCAAATCAGCTTACCGTCATATCCAGGGATGTCTTCTATAGCTGGCCCGTCTACCAGAGAAGCCAGAAGGTGGAGGGGCAGACAGAAGCTATTTCCAATGCCGTCCTGGCCCTTCATGACAACCCCTGGATTTGTGACTGCCGCCTGCGGGGATTTGTCCAGTTTATCAAGTCGGTTGGCCCACCTATTATTCTGATGAATTCCTATTTAACTTGCTCAAGCCCGAAATTCAGGGCAGGGAAGTTTTTTCATGAAGTAGAGCTCAACAGCTGCATGAAGCCACTGACCTCAGCCCTTGACACCAACCTGACAGTCCCGGTGGGGCTGAACGTCACCCTGACCTGCTTTGTGCAAGCCAGCCCTTCCCCAGCTGTCTGGTGGACCTATGCACTCAAACTTTTAAGGGCATTTAATGGTAAGCAAAGCTTTTTCTTCCTTTTTTTTTTTTTTTTAAATTAAAAATTTACATTCTGCTATTCTACTTATGTAGGTCTTCAGGCCATCTAGTCAGCACAGCAGCTCTCAGCCCCGTTAGAGCATCACAGTTATTGTGGTGGCAATAATCCAAATAATCTTAATCCTACTTGTCTAAGCACATCTGACTGGCATGAGAAGAGCTGCTTCATGCAGAATATAAGTCAAAGATGAAAGGAGCACAGCCTCATTTTTACACAATTATTTTATGTGTGGATTTTTAGTAGTAGCTCTTTCATCATCATGACATATGATGTAAGAACTATTAATACTACATCATACAAACATAAATACATAGTTATCTAGACATGCATACATATTTACACTATATATTATATACTACATATATATGCACACACTCTATATAATTGTATGTACATGTGTGTTTGTAGGAGTGTGCGCACACACACTCACACGTATGTTTATATACTATTCCCTAAGTTTTCTCAAGAAATACCCACACAAACCACAAAACCCCAAAGCCCTGTTGCCTGTCTGTGACCATTCACATTCTACATCCAAAACAGTGGTTGTCGTTCTCCAAAAGGCTCGCTAATTTATCATCTTCTTTATTGAGGGCCTCGTAATATGAGGCCTTTTCCTCTTCCTCCCCATCCAGAGTGGCTTTTACATGCCCTCCCTCACATTTATTTTTACTAAGAGTCTTCAATTGGACAAGTTTCTATTTTCATCAGGTAAGCTAATAATGCATACAGGCACCGCACAGGTTACATGTGTTCCTAATAAGCCAGCTAGCTAAATAAGATAGCATTAGCCCTTAATCCCGGACTGGTATTTGCGTTAATTGCAGTTTCATAGCAGCACTTGTGCATCTTTCCACAAGCACACGCTGAATTAATTATATACAGGCTTTTCCCAACCACAGCCACACGCCCCTGTTTGGGTAGACGACAGGGTGTTTCATACTGTTCTTAAAACTGCATCTCACTTCCAGCCCAACACTTCCTGGCTCCACATGCCTCTTTTTGGCCCCAGCCTCTTGAGACCGACATTTTTCCACACTCAATCCTAGCGGAGGATGGAGCATGTGTCCAAAATGGAACTGTGCCTCCTGCACCTCAGTGGCTATCCCTGGCTTGCCCTGACCTAAGCACACTGATGGCAGGTGGCAC